AGTGAAATATTACAGAAATATTACTGAAATATTGCACTTTTATATATATCATTGAAATATTACAGAAATATTACTGCAGTATTACATACTTATATCATTGAAATATTATACATTTATATCATTGAAATATTACACTTATATATTTGCAATATTATAGTTAAATTATAGCAATATATCATATTCTAAATAAAATGGTGACATCAATTGACATATCAATTTCTTTGACATTATATACATCATTAAAACGTTATTACGGCGTCATTTGAAGTCACCTTCCCTTACAGAAATAGTATTTTTTAAAAGTTTCTTTTAAAATTTAGTATTTCGATTTGCTTAATTTGGATTTTCTTAGATTTTTTTATTTTTTTGTTTGGATTAATCATTATAACATTTTGTTAAAAATCACTGGTTCACTACATTATATCAATATTTATCGCATATCGAATGTTGTTGCATTGTTTCAATATCTATCAGCAAATTATCCAACAAACACTAAGTAAAAATTATATAACTGTTATTTGATGTTTGCTAAGTATATTATAATGTACTGTGAACACTATAAGGATACATTATATAAGCATGAATTGTAAGAACATCGTTGGAGTCATCAGAGTCACCGCGTTCGCGCTCGATCGTCAGGTTAAGCAACAGTTTAATGCGGGCAGGACATGGAGGGTGACCAGTGGTGTATACTGCTTGGGATCGAAATTATCGCTGGAAGGATTTCACGAAAGTTTGGAGTATATTTGACAACCTTCGATACGTTAGTAGTTTATGAAACATGAGAAAACTAGGAATATGTAATTATATTTTTTTAAATATTATGATTTTCTCACAGTAATATCATTGTGATTTTCACCATTATATTACTGTGATGTATTTGCCGCGGACATTTTAATATTACTGTGATATCTTAGTAATGTTCCAGCATTATTTCTGTTATATTCCCTAATATTGCAATGAAAATATGATATTGCTGTGATATTTCTGCGATATTACGTGCTGTGTGGGTAAAATAACTTTATATACGTGTTGCCACTTTTTTTGTTAAATTAAGACATCACAAGTTATACACATCTCAGTTTCTATCATATGCAACGCCAGGCCTTTTGACTTTTACCACCTTGAATACTTTCGTAATATGAGAGCAAAAGGAAAATTTATCTAACAGATTACATGACACAGAAGTTAACGTCTTATGGTGGTAACACTTTCTCCCTAAGTGCAGTAATATTGAAGATCTGAAAGTTATCTTTGTTTTTTTTTTCTTTTAAATGAAATGTTACATCTATTTTAAAGTTTATTGTTACATTCTTTTAACGTGTTGTAATGTTTGTTATTTTTTAATGTTTGTTAATATTTGTTGAATTTAATGTAATTTAATTTTGAATTTAATGTTTGTTAATTTGATTGTTGTTAATAAGATTGTTTATGTAATGGTTTATTGTTATTTTTTTTAGTGGAATGTTGCGTTCATTTTTTATAACGGCTATTCAGGATAATGAAATAATCTATGACAAAAAATGACACAAGATCGATAAAACTTAGTTATGACAAAAAATATTTTATTAACGCGTGATTACATATAAATGAGGGAGGTTTATATTTAAAGAAAACCAGATGGCATATTTTTTAGAATTTCGAGATTACAATTTCTCAAACAACTAATTGTTGTAATTAACTGTACTTGATGGAGACAATCTTCTTCTATGTTTCTACGCAACGATCCTGTGAACCGTGTATTCTTTTTTGTGATAACCGAAATACGAACATCTGAAATGTGGCCCTGGCATCGGATCAAGCACTAACTCAAAATAAAATCACATATAAAATACATGTGTATCCTAATTAATAAGTCCAAGAGCTCTTTGAAAGGTCTTTACAGTCCTATTAGATCTTTAAGTAATATCTACAATGAGAACTTATGTTATAAGACTTAAGCTTTAAACCTTAAGCCGTAAGAAATTGACCAATCGCAGTCAAATATGAGGAAAATAATCGATGTGATTCAATTTTTTATGGTTTAAGGTTTAGAGTTTAAATCTATGGCTTAAGTTCTAATTTTAGACACGGTTTGAAGGGGATGTTGAAGTCCATGACGAACCTGAAAAATGTCGATAATGCAAAGACGATCGTCACACACTAATACAATCAGGTTGTCCTTTTCATATTTCTTATAGTACATACAGAATTTACGTAAATGTGTGTTATTTTGTTTTATTATATTTAGCGGAAAAGCTAACCACGCATATGTAAAAGTCTTTCAGGAAACTTTTCCGACATTCTTAAACTGAGAGAAACACAAAGGTACAACAATATTCTTCAAAATTTCTCTGAGCGGAGCAAAACTCGCGTTCAGTATATATAAGCTACAAATCTTTGTTTTCAGGAAAATATTGACTTTAATTGACAGTGTCTAACAGGCTGATTGACACTCCAAATGTCAACTCTGAAATTTTTTATCGTTTTTGTCAAGCATTCAACAATGCTCCAATTCATTCTCGTATTTTTATCATGTAAAAGCATATGTAATTCTGCACAGCAAATAGAACGTAAATTTTATAAAAAAAAATCAATATTTCGCCCGTAAAGATTTCGTAAATCTTTTAATTTCGTAAATGAAAGAAAAGTATCTGCGTTCCAAAAGGATCATTTGCGATTTCATTTTCACTATTCCTTCAACAATAAATACATAAACACAAAGCATATAACCGACAATACTCTTTGAGCCAAATAAATCTGGTCTCCTCTATGGAAAGTGATCGAAATAATGATCATTGGTGTTAATGCAAAACAAGTGTTATGAAACTACCGTTACCATATAATTTTTGTTAAATAAATTTTAGGTTGCCTGTTTACTAAATTGTTAAGATAATTTTGTTAGATAAATTGTTACGTAAATTTTTCTTCTATTTTCATATTTCGAAGATATTCAAGAGAATAATGTATTGTCATATGAATAGCTATTGCCTTTATATCAAATATAATGTGTACTTATTTTTTTACATATATATTTTATTTATTTATGTGTTATGTTATAATTTACTTTATTATATTAGTAAAAGTAGTAAAAAACGTTTAAAAATATCTTTCTCTCTCTTTTTAACTATCCGCTTTAACCACCCAATAAACGAAATCGATATACAACGAGATTATGCAGGTTGAGTGAGTGCCCCGACCCTCCCTTTGTACCAATCTCGGGAATTAATTCCTCTCTAATTTCACGTCCTCTCACGTTCGACGAACGTCGCGTCGCGATCGACTCCGTTTAATTTCGTTAGCGACTACGTACGGTACCTACCTAGCTGTCAGCGCGGTCGCGTAATCACGGGAGTTTTCGGCACGAGCAATCAAGCAGTTGATTGAGACGCAACTTAGAATCGGCTTAGCGTAACGCAAATCGGTGGCGACGCGATGAATCACACGCGGAGGATGAAGTAACTGCCCCGTAACTCCCGATAATAAACACTAGCCGGGCGTTTCGCCGACCGCGACGGCAGGCAGGCAATCGCGGGAGACGGAAAATCCGGCAGACATAAAATCGCGGATAACACACTCGACCGTAATGGTGGCGAGGCGGTGGGATCGGCCGCCGAAACTCCCATCGCGGCTAATAACGAGCCGAATTTCCGATTCGCCGACCGAGCTTATTGAACCATTACCGCGGCACGCGTCAACGGCTCCGCGCTCTCCGCTGGCAAATCGACTATTTAATTTCGTTATCGACGCGTCAATAAATTCGATGTAATGCGAGCCGGCCGACAGTTAATTTCGGGCTGCGGCGCTTCGCTCCTCTCGGCTCCGCGCGACGGGTGATTGACGAAATGAAAATCGGTCAAGTCAATTGATGGACGTGCCATCGAGTCGATCTCGCGACGTGATAATTGAAGCCCCGGATTTTGTTGCGACCGACCGCGAATACGAATCAACGACGCGCGATTTCTCGGATCTCCTCTCTCTCTCTCTCTCTCTCTCTCTCTATATATATATATATACTTGTACATTAAGTCAAACTGAACGAAAAAGTCCCCTACCATTTTGCAAATAACAACATAGATTTTTAGAATATTAATTAAAGAAAATTTGCATTATGGTACATAATCATGTAACAATTTTCTCTGATTAATATCTAAAAATCTATATTGTCATTTGTAAAATTGTAGAGGACTTTTTTGTTCAGCTTGACTTAATGTACAAGTATATAACGATAGTCGGCGCAACTGCAGCTCATCTACTGTATCGCGCATTATCATTCACCAATCTTTTTTAATTAATATCTCGACTATTATTGAGAATATCTCAAAATGGTATAGGACTTTTGTGTTCATCTCAATCTGCTCTACGTCCTCACGAGAGATTGTGAAGGTGATACGGGACACCCTGTATATATATATATATATATATATATATATATATATATATATATATATATACACACCCTGAGAGAAAAAAATAATTGATCTAACTAGATTTATAGTTATTTTTGATCCCAACCATATTTTTTGGTTGTTCTAACACGCTAATAGTAGTAATAACATAGATATAAGGTTATTATCCCTAATATTGTAGTAGAATTTAATAAAAAATAGTTTCCTCGAGCATAATTTATAGTAATCATTTTTTCTGAAATTATAGTTACAAATACCAAATATTTTTTCCTCAATATATATATATATATATATATATATATATATATATATATATATATATATTTCTGTTTCCTTCTCCCTCTTTCTTTCTATATGTATATTTCTCTTTCCCTCTCCCCCCTCCTTCTCTCCCTCCCTCTCTCTCTCTCTCTCTCTCTCTCTCTCTCTCTCTCTCTCTCTCTCTCTCTCT